CAGTATTCAGATTGAGCTGAAGTCTGCTAAATAAGAGACTTTAGCTGTAATATACAGTATATATATGTATTAATTGAGCCAATGCAACGAGTACATTTTTCCACTCCGAGATCAATAAAGTCAATCAATCAATTGAAAATAAATAAGTAATAAATAAATTACATAAATATCATAACCTTGGGGAAAAAAATTGGAAATGACAAACTCCAAATCAAGTGACTTCTACTAAAGAAAGGCTTCAGATGAGTCTATGTCCTTGTCCTTGCTGCTGAAAAGACACAAACGTCAAAGGTTTGCTGTATTTTTCTTTTTTACAAGTTAAACCTGCAATGCTTATTCTAGAATTTACAGATTTCTTTTTGTTTTTGTTTTTACAGAAATCATACTGCTTTGCTTGCTTTCATTAAAGCATTGCATTACTTGGCAGTTGTTGGGAATTCTGTATTTTAGGTAAATAAAAAATGGAAACTTTTGCCAATCTGAGTACTACTGCACATTTTTTGGTTCTTACGGCAAAAAGTTTGGTCACTCCTGCCTTAATAGGAGAGGCCTACGTATAAACCAACATGTCTATTTATCAATTTCATTCATTCATTTTTTGCGCCATGTTTTTTCTCCCACACTTTTTACATTTTGATCACTGCTGCACTTTAAGAAATGGAAATGTCATGAAAGCTGTACAAAAGTAAATTTCATTTTGTTAACTCTCTGCATACAAAAAGACAATAAAAGTTGTCAAAGTCATCTCCTTGGCTAAACCCACAACAAAATAGGCATGCATGCTGGAAATTAGCATCATTTTTTATTTGGAGTCTATGAGTGGCTGTCTATGACATAAATATAAACAAAATGTGACTTACACAGGAATCATATTGCCTGGATTTCTCTGCAGTAGTCAAATCCTCACTCTAATGTTTTAAACTACATCTTAGGATAATGATTGTGAAACTGATTTATTTAATATGAGGGAATAATAACATGCATAAAGCAGAACCAGTGAATAGAAAGGAAAAAAAACTACCTGGGCTCTGTCATTCCACTGCTGCAGACACAGAGAACTGGGCAGGAACGGATCAACACAGCTGTTTGCATGATGTGAAGGAGAACTAGCAGGAACATCTCGCATCAAACGTATCTTCTGCTCTCACACATCCTCTGTTTCTCCATGCTTGCAAGTCCTCCCCAGTCCTAAGCTTTGTTCATACTGCAGAATGAAAAGGAATCCCAGATTAGCTGGGATTACTGCGCTTACAAGTGGGATTGTAATCCCTCACCTTGGTGCCGGATCAGCAGATCACACCTAGAAGGCCCACCTGAACGTGCAGGAACCCCGAGGAGAAATAAACCCTCCATCCTCTCTATGGATTATTTAATCAGGAGAGACCCCATTATTTTCGCCTGCCCATTTGTTTAATTCCCCAATCTGCACCTGTTGTTTCTGTCACCATTTGTTATTTTCACCTCCTTCTTTGTGTTGCTTCTTTCCACTCTGGGGTCATTTCATTAGGTATCTTTCCCTTTTGTAAACCAACTGCCTGCACATGATGTACTCCTTTAAGGTACCTCCTCCTGTTTCTACTCTCCTGTCTGTAACCCCTTTTGTCTGCATCTCAATCTGAAGACTCTGCACCTCCTTTTATCTACACATTCTCTGGACTTTTTACTCTGCATCCTTTTACCTATTTGATTTTTCATTTGCTATTATCACCTTCTTTCTACAGCTCCTCAACTCTTTCCTCCAATCTGCACCCTTTGCTTTGTGCACTCCTTCGTCTCCTACTCTTTTTCTGTCTTTCAGTAGCTCCTAATCTAGTTCTCATCTGTTTGTATCCCTATCTGCACATCTTCTATCTGGGCAGCATCCTATTATTATTCTCTATTCACTCTCTCATGTTTGCCTTTCTCCTATCTTTACCTGTATATCCTCCTCTCTGACCTACCTAGACCTTTGGTGCAGTTACTTCTGTTATCACATATTCCTTTTTAGGTAATTCTGTGTGTTTATTCAGGCCTCTCCTTTCATAATCTAACTTGATAGACTTCCCTGCCGTGTGATTGCAGGGAGCTAAGTAATACAGAGAGAAGGAACTGCTGTGACCCATTAATCCTCAGAGAGGATACAAGTCCTCTTTGTTTGGACCGGGGCCTCTGAGGCTGCAGCCCAACAAATTTAAACAGACACATTCTTGTTTCAGAAGTGAGGTGATACCTCTACTGCAGAAGTTTTTCCATTTTTATGCAACGTGGAAAGCAGCTTTACTTCATATTTCCTTGGTATCTGAGATGGTGCACCAGGGCTAATGAAGAAGAAAGAATAGGCCAGCCAGGTTTCTGGGCTGTCACCGTGTTTCTCAGTAACAGCCCAGAAACCTGACTGATCTAGAGAAGATCTGTGGAGGATGAGCCAAAACCCCTCCTGCAGTGTGTGCAAACCTGGTGAAAAACTACAGGCAACATCTGACCTCTGTAATTGCAAACAAAGGCTACTGCACCAAATATTAACATC